ATATACATGTATATATATAAATAACCTAGAACATATATCTCTAAAGGTTTCATTTTGAACGTAAATGTTTCGTGTACAGGCAGATTTAATTGTTTATGCGTGTGTATGTGTGCAGACATCAAAACCTTCACACATAAATTGTACATAGGTACGGATACACTTTTACTGCTATATAGTTGTGACATACTTCGATATTTACGAATATATATATATATATATAGGAATAGTGTTATTTATACACAGGAGCAGCGATATATATATTATGTACATAAGTCGTTGTACAGCGGTTATATTGATAGTACTAATTATATTTGGAGTGTAGCCACTCTGACAGGAAAGTCGTAAAGCAAGTGTATAGATTTCAAGTAGATGACCTTACAAGTGTTCGCGTATGGAGGAGTTCACACTTCTCCTATATACTCCACGATATCAGGCGAGTGAGAGAAGATCGCCATGCAAACGGCAAGAAAAGTGCCGTGTTAGACGAGTAATTGTATGTCACGTCGTGGAGACTGAGACTTGAAGTTAAAATGACTATGTTTAGTAACATAGCCAAATAAAAGGAAAACTTTATTTTGTACCGCACATATTTGTGCGCGGTTCTCAAACGAACCTCTTATTTACTTACGTATACACACAGCACGAGTAAATAGTTAAGATACATATTACAGTTTGTTCGTTTACGGTAGGCATAGCTGCTTGTGTTAAGAACATGCATGCATGAACAACTCACACACACCCATACACACAGTAAGGCGTATACATATATAAGAAGTAGCACTGGAACACTCATACGAACAATCACATACATACTTCCATCATTATGTCTAAATAGAGCCACCACCGGGGGCACCTATGAGGGAGGTTTGTACTGATTTGAATATAAATATCCAGAATCTCCAGCTATCCACCTGAAAGTAATTTGTTTTTAAAAAACAAAAAATGTAGAGGCACCCAGTGTCCCCCAATTTTAATAAATGTATCGAATGATCCGAATAATCAGAGAATATAAATGGTACCGAACATTACAATATTATATGTCAAAATAAGTAAACAAACAAATGTCCCAGGGGTGAGGGGACCCCACGCGCACATATTATTTATATATTTCTCTCTCATCTTGTTTTATAATAGACCACAACTTGGAGACTCGACGAATAGGTATATATACCAAGCACTCAACGAACTGAAAGGTAACGCTTCTCGGCCGATTGGCTAAGATCAAGTGTAGTATCTGTTCTAATCAGTTTAATCACTGGTTTTCTACTATATGTAGAAACTATGATTAATACACTTTTTGTGCATAGGAGGTGGTGCGGTGGATTTATTCACGGCTCCTCCACGCATGGCCTTTGCCTTCGCACTTTCGCGAAGGTCGTGCACATATGCCCACCCTTTGATATTCTTTTAATACAACTAAACATAAACTCGTTTATATTTTGAAATGTTTAGCTAATGTTAACCTCAAACGTACATGTTATGTAGTTGTCGCTTTTCAAGTTAGAAAACTCATGATCAGGATTCAGTCTCCGTAGAAAAGTTGCGTCTCGGGGAGAAAATCATTTTTCGAGAGACTGTATCTAAAGCGCCAGGAACACATACGTATGACATGCATGTAAATATCAATTTCTTTACAGCCACCTCAAGTACGTGCCTCTATGAAAGCTAATTTTCTTTTGCATTAAAGCCTGTGTAGCGCTGTTCAACCCTCATTCCTTGCTGGTATTAAGTGACTCATGTATTTGTGAATATAGTTGCTGATAATTTTCTACAAATATGTCAGTACGCGATAGAGTGCTATCCGATCTGCTACAACTTCAGCAACCAAAGTCGTAGATTGAATGACAGCACATAACAATAGTGTGCGTACTCTTTCTTCAATTTCTACAAAGATGTAGATTCAAGTGATAGCCTTCAGCCTTTCAATCGCACGCGAATTTCTATACTGAACTGTTTATCTCCAGAAGTATCCTTCGACAGGTTGCAGAAGAATGAACCTTCAAAAAAATGAAAGGTGCTTTTCCATGCCACAAATACTTTATGCATCGTCAATTCAGGTAAGCACTCAACTACGTTACAATACAAATGCGTACGTTCGTCGGAATTAATCTGTGACTTACTGTACAAGTACAACTTTATTTGGAGTTCCGATTGGAAGATAGACCAGTGCTACCAAACAAAACTTGAGAAGCAATAGAATTAGCGAGTGACGAGATCTGTGAACAGCTTTTTGTTTAGTTCGAGTCTTCGGCTATGAATAATTACGGGTAGCTTGCGAAAGTGCTTGGGGGCTGAATGTATAAATGACGCTACAACTACTAGTGAATGCGCGTTCTCTGAGAAAATTAGACTGTTGTTTTTATGGCGAAGAGAATTATCCATGAGGCTGTACAAACAGAACAGAACGAAGGCCGGCGATATACGTAGGAGTTGTAGCTCGTTAGATAGATACCTACGACTCAAATATAATTAAGGTGGAGATCGCGGACGCATCACTTTGCTCATGCTCTTCTTTCAACACCTGAAGCTAATAACTGGGTTTGAGAAATCTTTCATGCGCAAAAGACATTTACGCTACAGGACGAAGCGTTTCGGACCAGGAGTGGCCCTTCTCCTTAAACAACTAACCACAAGCAGATACAATTTCTCACGTCATACAACAGCTTATCGCTGAGATTTATATAAACAATGGCTTTCACAAAGTGTTACTAATATCATTGTTCATGAAGTGTTCCGTGTAGCTTCAGGATTAAAATTACGACAGAAACATCCTCCGACACCACATGGAGCAAACGCGTGTGTTAAAAATAGCTTACTCTACAAATAACAGCTAAATACCCGCTTCCGACTTCTATTGTATTTGGTATTATTGCTTTCGACTACACTGCTGGAAACGAATGTCGCTACAATTGGAGAATATGCTGGATCGGTATACTGTTAGCACCTCAGTGTTTTATTGGAAGCTTATATGTTTCTTATCATCCCAACACACATTTCCGCACATTTTATTTATTTTCTTCAAGCATTTAAGCGGAAGAAAGGGCAGCCACACCTACGAGGGAAAGAAAGAAACAATATCCAAAATGAGTACTGTGAACCCCACCGCTGCCTTCCAGTTGAAAAGTAATTACATAACCTCCAACCATAGAACCATCGACAAAGAACGGCTCAGGTCCCAAGCATACAAGCTAGTCGCTAGGTATATAATTAAGAACAGAAACATAGCTAAACGCAGTACAACTTTAAAGTTACATATCCAAGGGACATACCTGGCAATACTTTTCCTTCCAAGAGCTCGAGAGAGGCACCACCACCAGTTGAAACGTGGCTCACCTTGTCCTCTGTCTTGTACTTCTTGCAGCACGTGGCTGTGTCACCTCCTCCAATGATGGAGATGGCTCCGTTTGCGGTGGCCCCCACTACAGCGTCCATAACACCCTTGGTTCCATCCGCGAACTTGTCGAACTCGAACACTCCGCAGGGACCGTTCCATAGAATCTACAAGTACGGAAATAGGCAAGTTAGACTCTTTCCAGATATAAATATACGGAAATTATGTGTTGTAAAGCAATCTGAAAAGGCTGTTCGGTATTCTGTCGCCATAACTCGCAAGTATCAACTGTCAACAAAAAGATACGTCAGCCAATCGAACTAGAAAATCAATACCAACCAGACGACACATCTAGGCAAGTACCTGCTTTGACTCGTCGACGGTGGCCTTGAACAGCTGGATGGAATCAGGTCCAATATCCAAACCCATGGTACCATCGGGGATACCGTCAGACTCCTTGGCTACCGTGCTCTTGGCGTCAGGGGCGAACTTATCGGCGGTGATAAAATCGGTGGGGAACACAACCTATTGCGAAATTTCAATAAAACATAGAAGTGTTAGATACTAAGTGCTATGACAGACAATCAGGATTATTAACTGTCGCCTACACACTGAATGTGATACGCTGGATTAAACACTGCATCCGTCGATAAAATCAATACTCCGTATACGCACGGATACAATAACCGACTCACCTTTACATTCTTGGCCTTCGCCTTGTCCATAAGCTCCTGGGCAATATCAGCACCAGCCTGGTCAAATAGCGAATCACCAATGCTCATACCGTTGAGTTGTTTCTTGAAGGTATATGCCATACCACCGCCAATGATGATGGTGTCTACCTTGTCTAGTAAGTTCTCGATAAGCTGGATCTTATCCGCAACCTTGGCTCCTCCCAGAATGGCTAGGAAAGGACGCTGGGGCTTCTCTAAAGCCATAGCGAAGTACTCCAGTTCCTTCTTCATTAGGAAACCGGCGGCTGTAAAGTTATTGTTTTTGAGGGTAAAAGGATAAAACATTCCGTTGAGAAAGGCGGTGGCATCGTAGCACCTGATATCCAAATGAACAGAAGCTAAAACTTCAGCTATAAGTCATGACATACTTATCACCCATGTAACTCATTGAAACAAGGATTCAGCCTTTAGCACGGTGACTTTGATTTAATATCGCATGACTCAAAATTATATTATCACGTACAGCACAAGAATCCAGTTTTCACAAAAAAAGCAAAATAAAACTAATCTCCAACAACGGCAGATATAATTATTCGCGATAGAAACATACCACGCACGGGCAGGTCAACACCAACCATGGAAGAGTGGGCTCTGTGAGCGGTACCGAAAGCATCGTTAATGTATACATCACCAAGCTTAGTCAATGACGCGCGGAAAGAGTCAACCTCATCCTGGGTCGCCTTGACCTTGGCACCGCTGGAATCCTTACCACTTCCCTGTTAATTCGATAGTACAATGGTGTATTTAGCATCGGTATATAAAACAGTTGCGCCTTATCAATCGGCTGGACCTTCCTCATTAGATTTCTATGGACTAGTCTCCGAGCCAACATAGATGATTAGAAGGTGAAGACAGAAGTAACGAACTCCAACAGCAGGGAAACTGTAGAAATCGGCATTACGTCAACACATAAAAACGCGGTATCAACGGACACAAAGAACCCGCACAAACACGACGTTCACCGAACAATAAACTTAGGAACAGAAACGACAAACCACCAATCAACGACTTACGGTCTCGGCAGCGTGGAAACGCAAGTTCTCAAGCAGGATCACAGCGCCTTGCTTGGGTGACTCACAGGCCTTCTCAACATCAGGGCCAACACAGTCGTCCAGGAACTCGACCTCGGTTCCGAGTTGCTTAGCAAGCTCCGCTTGTACAGGCTTGAGTGAGTAGTCGGGGTTTCTCTGTCCATCGGGGCGGCCTAGGTGAGACATGAGCACAACATTGTTGGCTCCGTTCTCGAGACAGTATTTGATGGTGGGTAGGGCTGCTACGATACGAGCGGGGTTGGTGATCTCGAAGGTCTTCTTGTCCTGGGGGACGTTGAAGTCGACTAAATTGTTTAAGAAAGAAGAGAAATACGGGTAAGTTGACTGGGGAGACGGAGATACTGTTGCTGCAGTAATATAATTGCTGCTTCAGCTTACTACATACATACTTACATACCTATATATAAATATAAATACATAAATAAATATATAAACGTATGAATATATATCCATATCCATAGACATGAAACATACATACACACGTAATATACATAAAAGTGTAAGCATTAAACGTCAGAAGGAAAATGAACACACGTATATAGGTCCAAGTGTGTGCATCAAAAGTATGGACGTAATTTAAGAGTTACGGAATGCACAAGAAACGTTTTCTTAGAAACAATCCAGAAGAAGTGATGTGATGTGATACGTTAGGCATGCAGATACACACCTCGGATCAAGACACGCTTGCCCTTGATGTCGATTTTATCAACTCCTAGCTTTGAAGATAGATCCATGTTTGCCTTTGTGTGTTTATGAGAGGCGGTGAAAAACTGGCGTATAAATAATCATGCAGCCCTGTATTGTTGTTGACAATTATCGGTACAAGTTTTTTTTTTAAATTTGCTTATTTGACACGGATGTCGTATATTAACGTTTTTGGTTAGATCAGATCATAGTGATCAAAAATATATCGAAGGGGTGGCCATTTTTGGGGCCTATGAATGATGGAAAATACAAGCGTTTTTTCTGGAAACAAAGAGACAAAAATAGAAGGATAATTAAAGATCTCAATCACGTCCATCGCCAAATTTGGTCTTAAAGTGGGTAATGATGATAACACATGACCAATGAAACAGTTTGTTATTAAAAAGTAGTGAGTCTACGTATTGTGTTGTCTGTCACCTGTTCAATTAAGCTCTACGTGAAGAACGAATACAGTATAGTTTCACGTGGCTTTGACACAGGTTTAATTAAAAAAAGCAGAGATAAGAACTTTGTGACAATCCATATGCTCAGGATCTGAACAACATACAAACATATATATATACATCCACACAGACCGTACATACTAAGCTCATGCAACACACAGTACATACTCTTAGCTCATGCATACGCACAGTATAAACTAATCTCATACATGTACACAGTATAAACTCAGCTCATACATACTGTATGTGTGTTCGAACTTACTACATACTAAGCTTATATATA